GAAAGTGTAGGAAAATATGGGGAGCGGGGGGGAAGACAGACACCCAGAAAAGATGGGAAACTACTGGGCACATTTTTACGTGTGTGTATCTGTTTGTGTGCCCTGGGGCCCCTTCAGATGTGCGCGCACTGAGAATATTTTTGTTCGCCCTGCGAGCGGTCGAGGTAGTTACACTGGTCTCGGTCCCAGCTCGAGCCAGCACCGCAGAGGCGGGGCGCGTGCGCACCGAGCCCGGCGCCGCAGCCGCCGCTGGCCGCCCCTCATAAGAGCTCAGCGCTGCCCGGGCCGCGCGGCCGAGGTCGGCGCGAGGGTTAGCGTGAAGTCGGGCCTGTCCCTCTACAGGGGGAATAGCCAAAAATAGTCAAACAATAGTCTGCGGACTATTTTGTGAGTATGTTTTGTCCATTTTGGAATATGTTTTGGGTATTTTCGATTTTTCGTCGAAAATCCCCCTGTAGGGGGACAGGCCCGACTCAAGCTTAGCGCTACTGGGCGAGCGGCCGATGTCGGCGCGAGGGTTAGCGCGCGTCGCCAGGCGCAGCCTCGGGGAGATGTGAAAGGAATGCGCAGGCATGCACATAGCGGTGCCTGGAGCACTTCGCGCTCGTCGGGGTACTCGGTGAGATGGAGGCGCGTCCTGGCTCTCACCCCGCCAGGGGCTCGGCAAAGGGTGAGCATCGGAGTCGCTGCGCTCGCACTGCGCTCCGTGTGAACCCTGATGCGACGGGGAAAAGAGCCTTCAGTTGCGAATGCAGGGACTCGCCCCCCCCTGTTCTATGCACGACTTGGGCGGCAGGGTTGGAGACCTAAATCGACCCAGGTCAAAAGGTACTCGAGTTGGATGGGATCGGCTGCATATCGCAAGCCCCCAAGGACGGCGACCTTTTTGCTTGTCGTCTTTCCCATGCCATGGGGGAACACTTTGCTCAACGCTGCAATGTCCTTGACGAAGGATGCAATGCTGCGTTATGGTAGCTCGGCGTAACCAAGTTTTGGCAATCGTCAATCTGATCCGCTCAGATGACGCATCCGACAGCGACGCCACCGCATCTTCCAGGGCCCCTTCAGGTTTGCCACCGCCGATGCCTTCTTGGAAATGGACGATGCGACGGCCGACGAGATTCGACAGCGGCTTGCGCTTCTCGCTGGGCGCCTGCTCAGTTGTGAGCGGTGTGCAGAGGGCCCGCCGCGAGACGCCTGCAGTCGCGCGAGCGAGGTGCGAAGGGCAGAGTCGTCCAGAGGAACTGGGGCGTCCGAGCAGATCACGCGCTCTCGCCCATGTGTCTACGAATACTTGCCGATGGCGAAACCCGTTTATGAAACACAGCGTGTTCAGCCTCCGGAAGTCCACGACGCTGGTTTTTACAAGTGTTTGGCTCTTCCGACACTGAGAACATTCTATGAAACACAATGAGGTGGATCTCCGGAGGCTGAAGACGCTGTGTTTACGCACTTGTACGAAATTCGGACGCAACCCTATTGAACACGCAACATGTCTACAGCAGCATGTCTACACTATCCATTGATTTTCAATGTTTGTTGTTTCTCCTCCAGGATTTTACTTTATACATCCATGGTCGAACTGTGTACAGCTTCTACAACAAGAACATCTGATGTTCAAAAGGAACTATGTCGAAGCCATCCGCGCAAGGATTCGAATGGAATCCCCCGCAAGGCGAATCGTATTGAAATCCCCCACTAAAAAAATCATGTGTGATCATCCACCGGACAACCATGTTGCAATATTGTGCCCAATGAGTCTTTCTGTTGCCCGCAACACGGTGGAAAACTGTTCTATTGTCTCTGGCTAACCTTGGAAATTGCTGGTTCCAGGGGGCGTGTTTAAAACCTTTACCCCAGGACCCCCCCCCCCAGGACCCCACCCCCGGGAACCCCCCCGCGACCCCCCTGGGCTCCCCCCGCTACCCCCCCCGTTAGGGAAGGAATCAAAGGGAAGGGGCTTCCCTTCGAATCAATTTCGACGTTGTTTGATTCCCGCATGGTTGGATCGCTTGAAGAGGAGGGCCCAGTGAAACGAGGGGGCGGCGACGACGACGACGACTCAGACAGAAAAACGTTTCACAACCAAGAACACAGACCAGCATATTCCTTTTCTCCGCGAACCGCTCCCCCCCCCCACACCACACAGGAAAGCGTAAGGCATAGTAATAGTGAGGGACTCTGGCGAGAACAGGATGGGAGACAAGTCGCTGCGTTTTTCTTGCTCGCTGAGGGGTCGATGCTGGATGCTGCGTGCCTGGCTGTGTCGAGCCCCGGCCTCTGGCGATCGTGCGGTGGCAAAGGTGGTTACGAATTGGTTCTCTGTCTAGACTTCTGGTCTAGCGCGACGCCCCACGGTGGCATTAGTTTGGTGGACCCCGTCATTCCGCAGGTCTTGCCCGGGAGGAAATCGGAGGAGGAGGAGGAGGCGGAGGCATGCGAGGAGAAGACATGCAAGGAGGAGGAGGAGGAGGAGGAGGAGGAGGAGGAGGAGGACGAGGAGGTCAGTTCAGTTCCCAAGCCCTTCAAGACCGTTTGTGACTGCTGGGATGCAGCTCGGGCTTGTGCTGGGGCCGGAAAGGCATTGCTTTGCCCCTGTCGTCATTTAGTGTGGCTACCATGTTGCTACACGCTCGACCTGCTGTGATTTCGATAGCTGCGAGGCGGGAAGGGAGCGACGGACATTACGACGACATGGACGGAGGACGAGGAGGAGGAGGAGGAGGAAGAGGAGGAGGAGGGACGAGGAGTAGGAGAAGGACCAGGAGGAGTTTCCACCACCATCTGCGCTAGGCAACGCTGCAGCATGTGGGCCTGATACTTCCGACAACTTCGCACTGCAGTCTAGAGCCAGTTTCACGAAGAGGGATAGGAGTAGAAGGAGCACGAGGAGCAGGAGGAGGGACGATGGGGACGGGGAGGAGGAGGAGGAGGAGGAGGAGGAGGAGGAGGAGGAGGAGGAGAAGGAGGAGAAGGAGGAGGAGGAGGAGGAGCACGAGGAGCAGGAGCAGGGACGGCAGAGGAGGAGGAGGAAGAGGAAGCGGAATAGGAGGTGGAGGAGGAATAAGGAGGAAGAGGACGAAGAGGATGACGATGCTGATGATGATGATGATGATGATGATGATGACGATGATGATGATGATGATGATGCTGATGCTGATGATGATGATGATGATGATGATGATGATGATGATGATGTTGATGATGACGATGCTGATGATGATGATGATGATGATGATGATGATGATGATGATGATGATGATGATGATGATGATGATGATGATGATGATGATACTGATGATGATGCTGATGACGATGATGATGCTGCTGCTGATTATGATGATGATGAGGAGGACGCGGAGGAGGAGGACATGTGAGGAGGAACGAAGCGGATGAGAAGGAACGAATGAGCGAAGCTACGAGGTGGACGAGGAGGAGGAGGAACGAAGAGGAGGAGGAGGAGGTGGAGGAGGAGGAGGAGGAAGAGGAGGATGCTGAGCAGAATGAGGTGGATGAGGAAAATGGAGGATGAAGAGGAGGAGGAGGAGGAGGAGGAGGAGGAGGAGGAGGAGGAGGAGGAGAGGAGGAGGAGGAATAATGATGGGGGAGGATGACGAATAGGAGGATGACGAGGAATGATGGGGAGAAGGAGGAGAAGGAGGAGGAGGAGGAGGAAGAGGACGAAGACGGAGGAGGAAGAGGAGGGACCAGGAGGACGAGGAAGAGGAGGAGGATGAATGAGGAGGAATGAGAAGGATGCGGAGGAGGTTTTGGAGGAGGAGGAGGATGAGGAGGAGGAGGAGATCGAGGGAGGAGGAGGAGGAGGAGGAGGAGGAGGAGGAGGAGGAGGAGGAGCGGGCGTCGGCGGAGGCGCTGGAGGAGCTCGGCTTCGCGCCGGCGGAGGACGCCCTGAGGTGGCTGCAGCAGGCGCACGGCGCCCCCCGCACGGGGAGGAAATAGTGTCTCATCTCTCCTCCCTCCTCTGCCTTCCTCTCCTCCCCCTCCTTCCTCCTCCTTCCTCTGCCCTCTGCCCTCCGCCCTCCTCGTCCTCCTCTTCCTCCTCCTCCTCCTCCTTCATCTCTTCTCGTTCCTCTCTCCTCCTCCCTCATCTCTCCTCGTCCTCCTCCGCATCCTCTCCTTCCTCCTGTCCCTTTCTCCTCCTCTCCTCCTCCGCCTCCTCACCCTCCTCCTCCTCCTCCTCCTCGTCCTCTGCCTCCTTTCTCCTTCCTCCTTCCTCTTTCCTCCGCCCTCGCCCTCCGCTCTCCGCCCTCCTCCTCCTCCTTCTCCTCTTCCTCCTTCTCCTGCTCCTTCCTCCCTCACATCTCCTCGCTCCACTCTCCGCCTCCTCCTCCTCCTCCTCCTTCCTCCCTCACCTCTCCTCGCTCCACTCTCCTCCTCCCTCATCTCTCCTCCTCCGTTTTCGCCTCCTCCTCCTGTCCCTGTTCCCCCCCCCCTCTCCTCTCCTGCTCCTCCTCCTTCTCCTCCTCCTCCTCCTCGTCCTCGTCTCGTCCTCCTCCTCCTCCTTCCTCCTCCTCCTCATCGTCCTCTCCTCTCTTTCTCCTCCACCACCACCTCCTCCTCCTTCTCTTTCCTCATCTCTCTTCCTTCTCCTCCGCCTCCTCCTCCTCCTCCTGTCCCTTCTTCCTCTTCTCCTCCGCCTCCTCTCGTCCTCCTCCTCCTCCTCCTCCTGCTCCTTCTCCTCCTCCTTCCTCCTTTCTCCTTCCTCCTTCCTCCGCCTTTGCCCTTCGCCTTCCCCCTCCTCCTCCTCTTCCTCCTTCCTCCGCTTTTCTCCCCCTCCTTCGCCTCCTCCTCCTCCTCTCTTCCTCCTCCTTCCTCACCTCTTCTCCTCCTCCTCCTCCTTCCTCCTCCTCCTTCCTCAACTCTCTTCATCTCCTCCTCCTCCTTCTCCTTCTCCTTCTTCCTTTCTCTTTCCTCCTTTCTCCTTCTCCGCTTTCCGCCCTCCGCCTCCTCCTCCTCCTCCTTCCTCCTCATTTCTCCTCGCTCCTCTCTCCTCCTCCCTCATCTCTCCTCCCCCTCCTCCGCCTCCTCCCCCTCCTGTCCCTACCTCTCCCCTTATTCCTCCTTCTCCTCCTCTTTCTCCTCCACCTTCTCCTCCTTCTTTCCCTCGTCCTCCCTCCTCCCTCATCTGTCCTCCCTCGTCCTTTCGTTTCCCTCATCTGTCCTCGTCGTCCTCCTCCTCCTCCTCGTCCTCCTCCTCCTCCTCCTCCTCATCTTCTTCATCATCATCAGCATCATCATCCTCAATAGCACCATCACCATCATCATCATCATCATCATCATCATCATCATCATCATCATCATCATCATCATCAGCATCAGCATCAGCATCATCATCATCATCATCATCATCATCATCATCATCATCATCATCATCATCATCATCATCATCATCAACATCAACATCAACATCACCACAATCATCATCATCATCACCATCATCTCCCGTCATCATCTATCCTCCTCCTCCTCGCCCTCCTCCTCCTTCGCCTCTTCCTCAGCAGCAGCATCATCATCAGCAGCATCATCGTCATCGTCATCGTCGTCGTCGTCATCATCATCATCATCGTCATCGTCATCGTCATCAGCATCATCACCAGCATCATCATCAGTATCATTCTCATCATCATCATCACCACCATCATCATCATCATCATCATCATCATCATCATCATCATCATCATCATCATCATCCTCTTCGTCCTCTTCCTCCTCCACCTCCTCCTCCTCCTCCGCTTCCTCCTACTCCGCGCGCACGGGGGAGATGAGGAAGGATAAGGAAGAGAAAGAGGAATGAAGGCAGGACGGAAGTCAGGACGGAAGGGAGGGAGAGGGCCTCTAAGAGATCTATGGGGCGGCTTCTTGGAACCTTTTTATGGCTCCCGGAGGTCTTCGGGCGCCCTCTCAGAGCTTCTCGGTGGCCTCTTGGGGCCTCTTCGGGGCAGGTAGGGCAATCTTCTGGGGGAGGCTACAAAGGGTCCCTGCGGATTCCCCTCTTGGACCTACATTGTGCCCCTCTTGGGGGTCCCTTTTGAAATCATGGTTGTTGTCTTGGGGGCCTCTTAGGCCGTCTTGGGGCCGGTATGGGGGGCCTCTCGGGCCATCCTAAGTTTTCAGAAGCCATAGACGGCACGCGGGCGACACTCAGTCAAAAGCCACTGGACCATCATTGACTCTTGCGGCTTGAGGCCCTCGTGAGGGTCCTCTTGGAGCCCCCTTGGGGCGTCTTGGGGGGCGTCTTGGGGGGCGTCTTTGGCCGTCTCGAGGCCGTCCTGGGTATTTCCTCGAGGCCCCTTCGGGCGTGCCGGAGTCATGCTGCAGCCACACCTTGGACGGCATCTTGGGCACCCTGGACGGCCACGGCGGGCGGACTCCGAGGCTCCCGGGAGATCTGCGGGGGCGCGCCCGCTCACCACCCGACACCACTGCCGGCCTGGCGCCGGCCCTGAGCCCCAGGTTCGGTGCACGCGCCCTCCGGGCGCAGCCAGCAGGTCCTCCACACCGATCCTGGGCCCAGGATCGGCCTGGCCGAGTGATGATTGGGAGAATAATAGGAATAAAACGAACACGCATAATCATACGAGGGAGAATAACGATAAACATACTCAGAAGGCACTACTGAAAACGAGCGATAAGAAGAAGCACATACTCTCATTAGTACTAAGAAGGAAGCCTACAATCATACTACTAAGAAGAACACTACGAATACGAATAGTAATTCGAATCCCAGTCATAATAAAAATAACCATACGAATTAAGCATAGCATTAGTATTAATCGTGAGAGTAGGCATCGTTAGACTACGGATGATACGCAGTCTAAGAATATTCATGCCAACCTGAAGAGGATGAATAATCATACTACGCCGCGTGTCCAGCAGGCCAGGGCGATGACGTCCCCCCGGATGTCGTGGCCCCCCTCCCATCTTTCAGCGCGTCCCTTTGCCCAACCCCCTGGGCCGCTCACGCGCTTCGGGCCCCGACCTGCGCAGCCCGCCCCCCGATCAGCGGACGCCCCCCGCCTCCCGCTCCCTGCCTCCGATCCAGTGGCAGACGCCCCCGAGCAGTGGACGCCCCCGATCTTGGACGCCCCCCGGTCCGAGGGCGTCCCTCGGGGGGTGGACAGACCTCCTACCCTGACACGTCGATTAAGGAATTGGCCGTGTTCGGTTCGCGAGAGGGCGTCGCGGCCGTCATTTTTGCGGGTCCAGGGCCGTCGGTTTCGGTCCCAGGCCGTTTTCACTAAGGGGAGGTCTACTAAAGGGAGGTTTGTCCACCGCCGAGTCCCCCTCTTTCAGGATGCAGTTCCTGGCAAGTTTAGCTCAGAACCGGCGCGGCTATGTCCGCGGTCGAGATCTGGGTCCATCCCGCATCATCCGGTTCCATCCAGCCAAATTCTGGGCCTAATCCAGGCTAGTCCAGCTCAGTGGCCCCTTACACGCTGGTCGTTGAGTAGGTGTTTTTGGACTCCCAGGTCCCATTCTACTTTAGGCGCCTTCCTACTTGAATCAACGAGCGTTCCTCCCTTTCCATCCTCTTCGGGGGGCAAGGGAGGGAGGAGGAGAAGGAGGTTGAGGAGGAGGAGGAGGAGGAGGCGGAGGAGGAAGAGGAGGAAGAGGAGGAGAAGGAGGAGGAGGAGGAAGGACAGTGCAAACTCAGGACCCATCAACGAGGTTGGAATCATTTCACCCTCCCTCCAAACTCCCTCTGCAAAAGCCCCTACAAGGCTTCATTTCCACTGAGTGGAGTGCCCCGTTTTTGAGAAAACCGTGTGAAAATCCTGAAGCGTGCCAGAACACCATTCTCAGGACTTCAACGCCACGAGTCAACTTGACTGTTGCGTCTTGACGATCCTGATTCGTGCCAGAACACCATCCCTGGGACTACAAAACCGCGAGTCAATGGAACTGTTGCGCCTTGACAATCCTGAACCGCTCCCAAACACTACTTCTGGTGTTTTAACCATGAGAACCCGTGAAACTGTTACAAGTTCTGTGCAGCGAATGTGCGGCGCCACGGCGAGAGCGACATTTTGACAACGACCCGCCCTCGATTCGTGAAGTGAATATAACTTTTTGAAACGAGTGTACGCGGTGCCAAGGCGAGAGCCACAGTTTGAAAACGACATGCCCACAATCCGTGAAATCCTGCACATTTTTAAGGCGAGTGTGCGCGGCGCGGATGCGATAGCCACATTTTGAAAGCCAGCCGCACTCCAATTGTGGTTTGTCACCAATTTCTAGGCTTCGGGCTCACAGATAGTTCGGAAGTCTCAGGCGAAGCGCCGGGCCGCCCTTCCGACTGGCCTCAGGGTGCGACAGGGAGGAGCTCGTTATCTATCGGGAAGGCGAAGACGGGGAAGGCGAGCAAGAGGAGGAGGAGGATGAGGAGGAGGAGAAGGAGGAACATCTTGATTGCGTGCAAGACCAGGGTAAACTTTTCAAACATGAGTAGGATGAGGCAGGCGGAGGGAGGAACGAGGAGGGAGGCGGCCAGATGCATGATGATAACGGTTATGATGATGATGTTGATGATGGTGGTGATGCTGATTATGATGTTGATGATGATGGTGATGATGAGGATGAGGACGATAATGATGATGAGGATGATGCTGAGGATGATGATGATGACGATTGCGATGACGATTGCGGTGACGATGGCGAATGCGATGACAATGTAGATGGTGGTTGCGGTGGTGGTAAGGTGGTTGTGTCGGTGCCGATCCTAACCTTGTTGTTGATGACGAGCATGTCGCGGGGGATGGATTTGCAGTTTTTGATGCTGATGCTGATGATGATGATGACGATGCTCGTGATGATGATGCTGATGGTGGTGATGGTGGTGATGGTGATGATGTTAATGATGGTGAGTGCGATGATGCTGCTTTCGATTACCATTCAGAGCATGATGA